GTCAGCTAAACCGATAGAATCTCGACTTCCTAAAACACCTAACGCTAAGCCCCAACAAGATAGACATTCGAGTCCGATCCTTTGATACCTACGTGACAATTTACAAACTTGGCCATTGTGTCTTATCTGTGGTAAGAACGACGCTGACAGACGTAGGGTGAAATATTGATCATTTAAACTAGCATTCATATATACGATAATAAATCATTAGAAAATATACATGAAAATAATAAAAATATCCTACTATTATAATTGCGAAAGTTTGTGAGTGTGTGTGTTTGTTGCTTCGTCACGCTCAAACGTTTGAACCGATTTTGATAAAATTTTGGATACTGGAAGCTGACGTCCAGGAATAACACATAGGCTACTTTACCTTCCGAAAATCTCGGAAATACGCGGGTAACACCGCGGGACGCAGCCAGTAATAATATATTTGAAGAAAACTAATTTATAATCTCAACAGATTTCGGAACGAAATTAATCATAGAATGATTGTAACATATGATTATATATTTTGATTAATACATTTCATTGCAGGCGGTAAGTTTTATCCAAATTTTCCTCCTAACAAACTTGTAAGGGGTGAAATCAAAAACCATAAACAACATCTGCGCCTACCGTCACCAATATACTGACACTGACATTTGTCACGACGCTGACACATTCTGACGTCAGAAATAATTATATAGAAATATTATAAAAACTAGTTAAATATTTGTCCAACATTATAAATATTACTGTGATTCTAATAGTATTTTTTATTACGTAACTAATTACAGTAATTTCAAAACGTGCACAAATTATGAATTCCTTAAGTTAAAACAAATCGAATACAAGGTTTCATATTAAAATAGAATTAATTATCTCCTTCAAAATGTCCTAATTAATCTCACGATATATTGTAAAATACTATAAACACCAACATTAAATACTCTTTTCTTAACTCGGCTGTCAACGCGTGGACCGAGTGCCGCTCAATAAAGCACTCGTCCCGTCAAACTGACAGCCGTACAAATCCTTTATCACATTAAATACGTCAAAAGAACATCCGGACAAAACACAAATCCCCCGATAACGTGTAACACAAACCGCATCAGATAAGGCGCGGTCAAAAACAAATCTCCTAACCCTTACACGTATCTTAGTTACCATTATAGGTTACCCGCAATCGATATTATATCCAAATTACATAATAATAGAGCTCACAATCAAATAAAAAGAATTAAAAAGCTGTAATAAAAATTTGTATATTTAATTTTGAACTATATATCAAATGCATTAAGCGTAATATTGGCTTGAATTAAGCAATATTGTTCATTAGGCACGCTTCCCGCCATTTCGATGTTCGTCATATTTGTTGTTTTTTTTTTTATTAATATCTGACCTCAAGGGGATTCGGCACACATCTGTGTTCGTATATTGGAATTTCGTTCAAGATTTACACATTTTTGCTTTATTTTGTGTGTATTGTTGTACAATGTCGAACAAAATAGCGTAAATTGTAAATAATGGAGTGCTAGTGACGTCCCAATCATAGAACCACACAGTCATCTTGACCGCGGATATGTAGGTAAGAAAATAAGTAGCGATAACAAAAAAAAATATAAAGCAATAAATAATAAACCTTAAAAGTTTTACAAAACAAAAAAAATATGTAGTAAGTACTGTCTTAAAACAATTTAAAAAGGTTTAGTTTGTTCTGTAGTTTTTATTATAAAATATAAAATATAATTCTTCCGACGGTACTTACTAACAAAAAGCGGAACTATTTATAAAAATGCTAAAAGCAGTGCAGTAATGTCCCGCATCAACAAACAATTCGCTGGCGGCGATACTGAAACCGAGTTTTAATAGAATTTGCAAGTAATCACTCACAATGGAGGTTTAATGGAGACGAGAGCACAGATATTACACAATAACAGAAATTAAGATACGTCACATTATAATATAACTATCAATGAAGGAAATAACTGATGTACATAGTACATTGAAATGATTTAATAAATAGACGAATAGAATTAATACGATTATTTAAATTTCGAACATCGTCATCGAAGGCGGAATGTCACGATAGTATTTTCCAAAAAAAATTCAATTCAAAGAACATATATAGTGATAGTATATATGAAATAAATTAATTTAAGAACATATGTGATAATAATTAATAATAATATAATCATATAAGCGTTATATTCGAATATATTTTAATATTTCAATTCGTTCGTTAGTGGAGCTCCGCCGGCCGTCGTCCGACACTCGCAGTCGTGACCCGACGCGGGTCGACGTCACGAACTCTGTACCGTTACCAGAACCGAGTGTTCTATCTCACTCACACGTATACTGAGATTGAACGAGTGCGAGCGAGACAGGTGATGTTGCATTCTACGTACGTGACGCTAAATAAATTGGCGAATTTCTCATATTAGATAAGTTTTTTTTTTTTTAATATTTAAAAATTAAGCTATCACCGGCTAGTTACTATTAAGGAAATGCAAGTCATTGTATTGTTAATTGTGATCTCTAATATCATAATAATAAGGATCATTATTCAAAAATAAATAATCCAATGGTAGTGTGAGCATCGATCAAAATCAAAATCAATTTTCTGTTCTATAGCGATTCGTTTCGGTTATTGACTTATTAATATGTGGGTTAAATCAATATATGGGTGTTATTTATAATAAAAAATATGTATTAACATTTACATTATCTGTATTATATACGAACGTATTCAAATGTCAATGTGTCACAGATTATACGAATTAAGCATAAAAGTCGAAAACATTATCAATCATCGGTTTAAAAACATTTCACGTATTGAGTTTTGATATATAATCTGTTTAATATTTAAAATTACAAACATTATGTTATATTCTTGCATTAAGAGTATAGTACAAGTTTAACGTCGCGGAGGTACGTAGAGAAAGTTAGGATAGCCATTTACGTTACATATTCATGTTACCCCGGGCTAGTGTTGCCATCCCGAGAGATATTAACTCCCTAAACTATGTTGAATTGCCAGGATTTATGGTTAACACCCGATAAAAAGGTAATAATAGTTCAGTATGGATTTTACTTGACAATTTAAAAATAAAAATTTGGGCTATCTGAATAGCTACATCAATTTATATAAATCTTTAACTGAATTTATATCTAAGCTCCAGACGGTAAAACTATAAAGATTTATTGTTAAATTTATTGAACGTCACGTTCCATACTCCGGTTACTTAAAAAAATCGCAGCTATTTTAGTGCCTTATAGAAAGTTGTTAACTAAGCAACATTTTCAGATAAATTACATTTTATTAATAACACATAAATTCATTATATTTCAAACAAAACTAATAGAAATTAATATTTTTTTCAAACTGTCAAAACATTTTTGACAGCTTCAAATTATATTTTTTTTAATATTAAATAGGCGACGGCATGAATCTATTCAGCCAATAAGGAAAGCTATTTACGATGAATACATCCAGACAATATTCATAAAAGCTATGACATAATCACGTTTCAAAACATAATAAATTCACGTACGTACGTATTTCATTAAGTCGTAAGCACGCTCGTGATTGGTCAATGAATATTTCGAGCCAATAACATCATGAGTCAATCATTAATCAACGGATGTACTGTCCTTATCATATTAATATAAAGTGAAGAGGACAAAGGATACGTTCTATCACAAATATTTGATATTCAAATTGATTAGACAAGTCGCGATTGGTCGCCATTTCTTACAAATATACCTATTAATATAATATTATATAAATATATTGACTATTATTTTATGACTATCATAAAATTATAATATTCCTAACATAATATAAGATTCGTTATGTCAGGATTCAAATTTATTTTACAACATGAATAGTTGAGTTCATAAAGCATCATAAAGCTATCCCCGGTCAGAACATGTAGAAACTCATTTGTATAGATAAAATATTAATTTTATATGAATGGAAAGTAAAAGCTTACAGTAAATATTAGTAATTAATATAATAGTTATATTATTGGATTCATTAGTAATAAAAGCATGGATTTAATATCTAATGTGTAGGACACTGTCGAGTGAGTTTGTAGGGAAAGTGTTGTCGGATGTATTGGCGCGGAGAGACTTGTTTATGTGAGAACTTCGGCGGTTAACTTGTTAGTATTAAAGAGAAATTGTTTTATTAAATGCAATAAATATTCAAATTAAAACTACTTATATATAAATATAATCTAAGCTGTATTTATTTATTGAGGTTTTTGAATTTGATATTATGATTGTTTATTGACAGAAGCCGTTTTTTAAGTTCAGTGTTGCTTGTTCAAATTTAGATTATGAAAATTAAATCTTGTTTATACATTTAATGAATTTTTGAGTATAGTAACACTGAAAAACTCAATGTTTTACGTTAACTATACAAGCTTATTCTAGACATAAATAGTTTTTAACGCTATTTCGTTTTGGAGTTAAAAAAAGTTAATTTAATTAATAATTAATTTAATATATCTGTTGTTTGTGTATGATGTGTTTATTTACAGCTGTCGTTATTCAGAAAATGAAAGTTTACGATCGTAATATCTATGACGCCATATTAATAACCAATAACGGAAAAGTGAAACTGTGTACTTACAGTTTAATAGCGACATTAAAACCGACAGTACAGACATCTAGCGAGCAGCTACTCGGACTAAAGTGAAGATATAACAAATAAAACAAAGCAATATTTTAATATAACATCTTCGCGTGTATTAATAAATAATAAGTTAATATTTACATCTATGGTACAGCTAACGGCGCTACGACGACCGCCTAACAATGTTCGTGTATTACATTAGTCTCTGTGGAGCTTATCACAATTAGTAGGAGGAACAATAAGTCGCAGGCTCCCCGCGAGGAGAGAGAGTTATTATTCAGTGTTTAGATTCACACTAGCGGTGATACGCAAGGCAACGCAGACCCCAGACCTGATCATATAACCAACACCCTCTTTATTCAAGTCTATCTATCTATCATCGCTTGGCGTCAACTCTACTCCCGCTACCGTCGTATATCTTAAACGATGATGTATTATCCACGCGCGGACTGCTCGTGTATTGAGGAGAGATGAAGCTACCGTAGGAGAGGGAGGAGTTGACGCCGAGCGAGGACTCCATCGTGGAGTAGTAGCCCGAGGAGGCTGCTGACGGAGCCGCCTGGGGAGCCCTGGTCGCTTCTGCGTACGCGTCCAGGTGCGTACGAACCAATACTAAGAGCTCCCCGTGGCTGGTGATAGACGCGCACGCGCCGGCGACTCTGTACAGCAGCAACCTCGCCTCCCCGAATAAGCTGTCCAAGATTTTACCTGTCGTGAAGAGGACGATGGCCTTCAGACAGGAGTACTCCGCGGAGTCCACGTGCAGCGCCTTCAGCTTCTCGACCTGCTCCTGGAAGATGCGGATGTGGTCCATGAAGGCGACCACGCGGTCCGCGGCCATGGGGGACGCGTGCAGCCCCGCGGCCGCCAGGAGTGGGGCGACGTGCAGCGGCATGGAGCACTGAGAGGCGTTGAGGACGAACAGCTCCGACCACACCAGCCGCAGTAGCGCCACCTGGTCCGTGACCTGCAGCTCGGGGAAGAAGGGGATGTTCCTGGCCCACTCCACGGCGGAGAAGAGCAGTCTGGCGGCGAGCTCGCATATGTTGTCTATACCCATCACGTTGGTGGGCTGCACGCACTGACCGTAACGTGAGGCAGGCTGTGTGGGGTACGGCTCGGCTCTTAGGAGCAGCGAGATGTACGACGACAGGTAAGGGTGGCTGTTCAGACCAGCCGCCGGGTCACCGTTAGTGAGGGCGAACTGACTCGGCAATGACAGGCCCGCAGACTGGGACGGGGGCACGCGACCTCGCTGAACAGCTGAAACAAAAAACATCCTTCATCAATTGTTACGACACGAAAAAATAAATGAAAAATAAAATAGAATCGAATGTTCAGCCGCTTCTTACATAATTCATGTTTCTAGATGTAGCAACCGAGTCTATTGTTTTAATGTAAATTCTGAAACACACCCGCGCGGTTATTTAAATATACAATCGACGCAACAATCAAATACTAGTTACCAATAACGCGCAATATTGTTTTTCGGCTCATTAACATATAGACAATATCTATATAATAACTAAATTTTAGATTCCGTATTAAATCAAAGTCAGTACTAGTATGTTATTGACACAAACATAAATACTTGTAGTATGTACCTACAATTAGCATTGAAGCGATCAAGTACGGTAATAATTGCGTTTATGGCCACTAACTAGCGAGCACGTAAATTAATATAGCCTCTCTGCGCTACTCGACGGCGACTTTAAGCAATACTTAAACTTTATAGCGGTTTGAATACTCCTGTATCCTTAACACATGTTCTCATTGAATACAGACGGTGAGTTTCAAGTTTATCAATAAATAATCTTCGTACGTAATGGTAATTTGGTGTGAGAATGAAAAAAATACAGGCTCATATGCAGTCTGGTGATGAAAAGTTGGTACGAGGCTTCTATTAACTGAAATGAGGCCTAAGAATATGTCTTCTACCTGGCAATATCCCAGCTTTAGCCAGGGTCTACATTACATGTTGTGAATAGTTTTAACTAATTGTTTTTACGACCGGCCGCCTGACATCAACCCTCTTTGGGAATGCATTAATCAGTGATGTCTAAATACTCTCAGAAAGGCCTTGAGAATACTATAGAAAGATTATCATATAGATTTTATTTAAGTTTATCGAAATTACATATTATAAGAATGCACGTTCTAGACTTTTTTTTTGTAAATAATTTTACGGATACGAGTTCTTTTAAGACGATTTTCTTTATACTTTTTCCGCGTTACAGATAAAGTATCTTGAATAACATGATTAAATTGTATCATAATTGAAGTTAATAAAGGTACATATTTATCTACATTGAAGTTTTTTTTGTTTAAAAATATGTAATGTTTTTTGTTTTATTCTGGTTGTGAAAGACATTGGTGGGGCATGGCGTGCTCGTCTCAACAATTCTTATTTTAATGTATTTTAAATTATTATGACCCGCTCTTGACCTTTATGACCTGACCACATAGCTCGCTATATTTTGTACCTCTTAAATAATGTATTACTTAAAATCTTGCTTTTAAGGATCTCTTTTATATAAATAGAATAAAAATAGCTAGTCAATAATTGTATAAGATCAAAATATTAAGAAATTATAGACAAAATTAGAAAATAATTCAATATCACAGAATAATATATAAAAATCCCTACTAATATTATAAATGCGAAAGTAAATCTGTCTGTCTGTTACTCTTTCACGCCTAAACCACTGAACTGATTTTAATGAAATTTGGTACACACATAGAATTGACTTTGAGAAAGAACATAGGATAGTTTTTATCCCAGACTTTTGAAAGGTTCTCTTGGAAACGCGATATAACCGAACTCCACGCGGACGGTTTCGCCGGAAAGCTAGTGTATATAATATTTTTTTATAAACTAATAAATTGTTAAAAACTTTTGTGTATCTGTGTGTTCGTTCTCATTAATTATCTCCGGTCCGTGTCGAAGCGTTGGGAATCGATGATGGTCATCACGATCTTAAATAACTTAAAACAGGTGGAATTTATACTATTTTTCATTTATTCCTTCATATATCATACTATATAATAATAAAACTATTTTTGTACAAATATTACTATTGTCACCTATACAAAAACTAAAAGTAGTATATTTTGTACGGAAATAAATGTATTTGCATTTGAAACTAGTTCTACTAATAATAATAGAATTATTAAAATCCACAATATCGTAAGTCTTAATAATGATATATTTATTTAATAAAATTAAATCGAATATTTGTATTGTAAAGTATTTGGTCGTAAAATTTAGACGAGTCGTGATTGACCTCTGCGTGACGAATCGTCAGTACTGACAAGTGTACGTTTGTTAGAAAAATTCTGTTACAATAATGCTAAGCGCGTGAGGCATTTAAAACGTTCGACTGAAGAGAATTATAGACCACGACTAGTTTTTACAAATCTATAAAAATTATACTTTTTGTTCAAATCACATCGATGTTGCAGTACAAGTATAAGTAAGTTAAATTCATAATAAACCCGGTTTCCTAACGTTACTTCACAGAGTTATTACTACAACACAGTCTATACTTATTATGTGTTACGTAAAATTTCAAACAAATTAATAAATATTTATAATATTAGAGTATACTTCACGTTTTATTACGAAATTTTATATTAAGTTGTACGTACATAGAATTAGAGTAATTGTATGGTAGATACGTCTATTCGTACGTCTTATTTAAGTTAATATATATATATATATGTTTATATTAATAGTTGAAGCCGATGAAACATCTAAATATATTTATAAGGTATTAATATGAAATTTATTAATAGAATTCAAATAACACGACTCCCATAGACTTAACAAGACTATATTATGCCTTATTTACATGAAGACGCATTTTGAACTTGTTGTTGGCGCCAGTCGTAACTTAGAAGATTTTGGTCAACTTAATTATACTGAACTTACGAGTATATAATACATACTAGCTTTCCGCACGCAGCTTCGCCCGCGTGGTGTTCGGTTATATTGCGTTTCCAAGAGAACTTTTCAAAAGTCTGGAATAAAAACTATCCTATGTTCTTTCTCAAGGTCAACTCTATCTCTGTACCAAATTTTATTAAAATCAGTTCAGTGGTTGAGGCGTGTAAGCGTAACAGACAGACAGACAGAGTAACTTTCGCATTTATAATATTAGTAGGGATGTATTTATAGATTATTAAGACATAATAGTAGCCACATGTATACAACATTCCTCCTTACATAATAGCTATTTATCTTTGTTGGAATTCTTTTAAACGATATGAAGAATTATCGCGAGAGAAAAAAATATACGGAATCGAGACACAGTGTATAAAAGGTTTAATTATTTTATCTTCTATATATATAAAAATGGATTGCTGTTCCTTAGTCTCGCTAAAACTCGAGAACAGCTGAACGGATTTATCTTATCTTAGTCTTGAAATGTTCGTGGAGGTTCAGGGAAGGTATAAAAGCTGAAAAAAATTGATTCATTACTGGGAAAACCATAAAAACAGCCCTTTTCTATTTCCTATACAAACGTTTTTTTTGACATTAAATTTGACAACTAACTAATATGTCAATGATTCTGTCGCACTTCAAAACACGGAGATTTATGGCTTACAGGTAAACTCAAAAAATATAAATAAAAAAACGTAATAGACATTTCTTGATTATATGGCGATACGAAGTTCGCCAGGTCTTCTAGTATATATATATTTTTTAAGTATCTGTGTCACAATATTTTTTTTTTTACAGACAATATGACAATTTTATTTTGATATTTATGACGTCACATCCGTTTTTTTGAATAAAATTGCAAAAGTATTTGTATAATCTGTGCACGCTTAACCTATATACGTTGTAAATGTTCTAACTGTCTATTCACTATTAATTTCGTGTATCTTATTGCTATGAAATTAAAGGTCATATTTCATTGGCGCCTAACTAAATATTCCGCCCGCGTAAAAGGTGATATATTTTATCTAAAGGCTTCATTGTAAAATGTATTCTATGTAGAGTTATTAAGGTCGAAATTAATTTTATTCCTATAATGTTCTTGACACGGATTTGTCCGTGGAGGCAGTCTGTCGTTTAGTTTCAGAGATCTATCGATGCCGCTGTAATGTCGTCGAGAAAAGCTTTTATACGAACAAAATATAATTAATTTTCTTTAATTATTTATTTTTGTTTTATTTCATATTCTATATATAAAATTAATATATAGAATATGAAATAAAAGAAAAATATATATGTATATCCCTACTAATATAATAAATGCGAAAGTAACTCTGTCTGTCTGTCTGTTACGCTTTCACGTCTAAACCACTGAAATGATTTTAATGTAATTTGGTACAGACATAGAGTTGACCTTGAGAAAGAACATAGGATAGTTTTTATCCCAGACTTTTGAAAGGTTCTCTTGGAAACGCGATATAACCGAACTCCACGCGGGCGAAGCTGCGGACTGAAAGCTAGTTATATATATTGTTTGTAAGCCTTGTGTGCTCGTCTGTACCGTATTTTTATTCCTCCTAGTTCCCAGCGGTCATCACTATTATTACAATTACACTCATTTTCTTACGTTTCATGTAAAAATGATTTAATTCAACACTTCCTTACATTACGACTACGAGTATTTCTCATAGTGAGATCTAAGATTTTCGCGAGTTTTATTCATTTAAATGAAACTAATATATAAAATAATCCGAAAAATATTATTTACATTTACATATATGAGTGTTTCTATTTTAAGTTTATTTATACAGATATATCATATACTAAGACTAGTGGTGGCCTAGTGGTTAACAGGCCCGCCTCTCACGCTCGAGGGCGCGAGTTCGATCCTGTCAAGTACCATTGTGATTTTTCCGAGTCATATGTACTTTCTAAGATTATTTAGACATCACTGATTAATGCATTCCCAAAGAGGATTGATGTCAGGCAGGCGGCCGGTCTTAAAAACAATTAGTACAAAACTATTCATAACATGTAAGGCAGACCCTGGCTAAAGCTGGGAAATACAAAATCATCCGTTATTCTATAGGCAAATGAAACTAATGTTTTTCGGATGTACCTACTACGCGATTTTTTTTTTGTCAAAAACTACATACTCCCAAAAATGTTGAAAGCTTCACGATTTTGCGTACATCGTGAAGCGTACATCCGAAAAACATTAGTTTCATACAAATGAATACTCTCGAAAATCTTAGATCTCATTATTCTATAGGTATTAATCTCGTTACCTACTTGTCAGCAAGGATTTCCGATCTAGGCCACC